GGAACTCTACTTTGTTTTTTTTTCTTATTTCTTAGGAGTTGTTCTTTCTTATTATCATCACGAGTCTAGGAAAGAAGTAAAGTCACAGGCAAGTCGTTTATACAATTTTATGTTTCGATCTTTGATATTTCTAAATATGTTTCACAACTGGCTAATAATACTCCTCAAATAACAATTGTAATTCTGCATAAACTCAATAAACAATTAATTGTTAGACATAGTACTTTTGGCCTAATATTGCTAGTCTTGCTTAGCAAGAACTGGTGAATTCATAATTTTTTATTGCGAAATTGTTTCAAAAACTCTTTCCAGAACTGGGTTATCCTGCCGCACTCACAGGCAGTACTTTACCAAGGACTGGATCTTGCTCATCATTTCATCGGAACTCGGGTTAATTTTTATGGATTGACTTCACTGCTGTCGTTATGCTGATGATTAGCTTACAACTGATTATTTTGCCTTGAAATTTTCACTTTTCTTGCTTGTTACACTCCTGCTAGTAATTGGAATTTCTCATTTTGCTCTCCTCAGATTAGTTTTTTTTTTTGCCAATTTTTACCTTAGTTGCTTTTATTGCTAACGTTTTTGTTGAATTCTAGTGCACTGAAACAAAAAAAAAACTTTATCTCAAATAGTCTTTTCAGTCTTTTTCTATAAACTCCGTTGCAGTGACATTCAAATTAGTGAACTGCACCAGAATCTCATCGCCATTCTCTTCCTGGGCAAAGTCACCATTTTCGTTTCGTTTTGTACCTGGCTAGTGTAATTTATATCCCTCCGAATGCAGTATCATGAATCCCTGTTCTTGCATATTTAAAATCGTCGGTGAACCTCACTAACGAAATGTTTGTGTGAATTACATGTGAACAGCTTCATTTCTGTTTTGGCGGGCATTGTTATTGCTTGTGTTTCTTCGTTTCGGAACTTGCCAAGGTTTTTTGCTAGTTTACTTTAGCTAACGCAGTTTAGATATAACTGCTGGTCAGGCAACAAGCATAGCTTCGTCATCAACTTCCGAAAGTAGTCCAGCCGTTGTGACCGGAGGTGGCTGTACGTGTGCACACGAAAGTTTTATCTCTGCAACAACAGCTCGAAATGTAACTTCCGGCCATCCGCAAAAGCGTATCTATGAGAACGCAACAAGGCCAGTGAGATTTATCGCGGCTGACGACGAGCAAATGCGACGTTCCGCTTCCTCAGGTTCCCTCAAATTGCAGTTTCTCGGAAAGCAGCCCGGGACTCAGAACTTCAGATCCTCTCTGGTAACTGCTTCCGAATGTGATGCTACTTCTATGCCGTTATCTTCAGGAGCGGCCGTTCGCACTCCACCGTATGCATTTTGCGTTTTCGCGCGTTTTTTAGTTTACTTTTATCAAAAAATGGGGGAGCTTTTTTCTGGCTAATTTTTGGCCACTGCTTTGGAACTGCTTTGTCGCCGAATGAGTTTTCATTGAAGTATAATGGACGATCCCAAATTTTCCTTATTAAAAAAAGAAAAAAAAAAAACTGATTTGTATCGTTTGATGCGTAGTATTGTTTCGAATATCCATGGAGAATTC